ATAGTTTTGACAACGCTGCGCTGGAAACTGCGTTGCTCGCTTCTTTGTTGAATTGAACGTTTTCTAATAATAGCTGAGGCGTTAGTAGCGCAGTAAGAGCAATATTTCGATATTACATAGCTGTTTAAAATAACCTGAGAAAGTATGTGCTGTTGGAGCACTAGTAGTTTGAAGATATTACCGCAAATGCGATTTTTTTGTATTCGTTCGCTTAAGAATTCGCAAGTGGTTTACAGTTAATGACATGAATTTTGTCATAGTGCACTACTTACGTACTGAGTGTATTTCAAGTGCATTACTTGGAATAGTTCATTATTCATTGGGAATAATTCCAGTACAATTTTTTCTCAAGATATAAATCTGAAAGTTTACGAACCACATCAAGGCCTGTCGGAATCTTGTCTGTACATTTACACGTCGTTTACGGTTATCTACATCATTCATATTTTATAAAAATCTAAATATTTTTCTCTTGATTGCTTATTCTTTTTCTAGTAAATTATGGACTATAGAGAAAAGTGACATTCTGCAACAATATTCAAACGATCGCAGCATTTTAAAATTTCGAACAGTGCTATTTCTGAAGGGTTGTTTGGAAAAAGGACTGGAGGCAAATAATAAGACGGCTGACTGTGTAAGGGGAAACAAAAGAAAATTAGACGTGCTCCATTGCTCAGCTCTCCTGGTCGCACTCCAACTCGTTAGCTCTAAATCCCCGCTGTGGACGGCGACGCCGACCTCGCCCTTGAGGCAGCCCCTCCACTCAACCCTTTGTTCCGAATGCTCAAGAGGTCTTTATGCTCACCGCCAATACCTTCTTGCCCTTCCGGGAGGATGTCAACTCCTCTACATTGATTTTATACAAATGTTACCGATATAAATTAATACATACATACTCATTCCATGTCAATATACCAATAATAATAATAATAATAATAATAATAATATAAGAAGAAGAAGAAGAAGAGAAGAAGATTTAACAATTCCCCGTTAAAGTTAGAATTTTATTTCAAATCGCTTGTACATACATTACTTGCATTTCCCGTGCTGGATTTATTCTAGACGTCTCCTTGATGTACTTGAAACTCGCACCACTGAGGTCGCGTATTTCGCGTGAGACCACCACGCAATACAATTTCTGTAGCTGCCGCGCTCACGCGAATCTGCCCGCGCGCCGCATCTCGCGGCCCCGCGCACCGCCTCCCTGCCCTGTCCGCGGCGCCTGTCAGTCTGCGCGCGCGGGTGGGGCGGGGCGGGGCGACGGCTAAGCGGGATTCCCGCTGCGATCGAAGCGCGGCGCGGCGGCCGCGGCGCCAGAGGCAACCCCGCGGTGCGTCACCCTCGCCCACAAGGGCACCCTCCCCCCGCGACACTTCGCCAGGGGCCGATCTGGCAGGGCACTCCCGCGGAATGACCTTCCTTGCCTGCGAGACGTTCATGCTTTATGTTCAAAGCATTAAAAACAAGTCGTGAACGTAGCATTTGATAAATCCTACACGAAAAGGAACAAAAGTTTTTTTCTCATATCTTTTCTTTCACCTTGCAATAATCATAAGAAGCTATTAAAAAGTAACACAACGAAGCCGAGAGATCTACACAAATTTCAGAATTTTGTGTCTCCGGGAGAGAAGGTTCAGAGCATCAACTGACGTCACTGCAGTGCCTCTGATCGGGAGGTCCTGGTCAGCAGTTGAAGCTGTCGGAAGCTCTCGGAAGTTCCCGTAAACACGAAATAATCACTTAATCAATGAACAGCCAGTCCAACCCCAAATGAAAATGAAACGAACTTGTACTAGAAAGTCTGTACCATTCTATACCTTCCTACCCCTCCGCTACCTTCCTTTCCCTCCCTATAGCTCTTCGTACCAGATTAGAGTTTTTAAACTGAAACTTAGTATCTGTCATTAGTAAGATCTAATCGTCGTGCCTAGCAGATCAAGATGATTTTTTTCCTAATGAGAACTGTACATTTTTCAAAACTTTGTGGAAAATGCAACAAATTTTTGAAAAGTTTTGCTTGAAAACAAGCAAACGGCACAAATTTTTCTTTGAATTTTTGGTAGGGATAGTGCAAAATGAACTCTGTAAGATGATATAAACGCCATTTTGCTATATTCTTTTGTTTTTTTTCAAAAATTACAAAACTGTAATTTGTTCTTGATTCTCACGACGTTAATATGCACATTAGTGCCCATTTGTTCATATTATTGCATTGATGAGTACATGCGCTTCAAATAATGACTTATAATGTTTCTCGGGAATTCAAATGTTTACTTTGAAAATGAGCAAAATTCCGCGTTTTCAAGAACACTCAAATATCATTTTTTTTAAAACGGCTCCAAATTTGTTCTCCAAACATTTTGTACGGAGAGTGATAAATGCATTGTTTAAGATGGCATTAATTTCATTTTGTTGTGTTCTTTTGTATTTCCAAAAATTACGCAAATGCATTTTTTTAGAAACATATCTCGTCGTTAATATGCGCATTTCCAGTAATTTGTATTCATTATCGCATTATGAGTGGAGGTTCTTCAAATGACTTTTCTCGAAATCAAAAAAGTTTTCTTTGAAAAAGAGCTTTAAAGTTTGCATATACAGTAACACTTAAACAACCATGTCTTAAAAACAGCTCCAAATTGTTTAACGAAAATTTCCAAATAGGATGAGGACTTGATCTTCTTTAATATTCATAAAGCAATATTTCGGTTCTACCATTAGGAAACGGAAAATTGAGAAAATTTCGAAAAAATGTACATTCTCAGGTACTTTCTATGACAGCTAGCAAGAGTATGAGGCAAGACCGAAAAGCTAGCCAGGCCAAGGAAATTAGAAAACCTACGAGAAAGTAGTACGAGAAAGTCTGTACCATTCTGTAGCACCACTAGTTAGATATGGTGCGGTTACAAGTTTTCTTAAATCACTTGGAATTTTGAAAACTGCAAAAGTAAACATTTATTTTCAAATCGGAAGTGTACATCTAATATGAAAGTCAGAGGTTTCTTTCTCAATGTAATTTATCCCTCAATTTTACATTCTTATATGATGTCGGACATTTTTTAAAAAAATATGAGTTGTTGAGTAATAACATGACGAGAAGGAAAAATATTCAGAATGGCGCGTATTTCGTTTAGTTTTTATCTTTAAAAAAATATTCGCAAAAATGTGTAGCTTTCATTGCGTTATTTGCACAATCCTGAAGTTTTAAAAAAACTATATCCGCAGGAGGCGGTGTAATCAATCGCTAAAGAACTGAAGAGACCGTTGCGTAAGGCTTTCCTGCTAATGCTAAAACGATTTCCCCCCAAAGCCGTTGGTGCACTTCCTGCGAGGCCGCGCCGCGGGGCCCGCCTCCGGCACCCGCCGCGAGGGGCGCAGCAGGCGGCGGAACGGGAAGCGGAAGTCAGGCGTCCGTCTTCGTCCTCCGGGATGCTCCGCTGTGACTCGAGCAGGCAATGAACTGCGATCGATTCGGTGTATTCGCTTCGTCTCGACGTGCATCTTTGGCCAGTTTGGTGGGAAGCCGTTAGATTTGACACGGAAATTGGAACTACGTTTTAAATATGTTGTTCTACTAAGATGAGATATTTGGAAAAGAAATAGATTATGCACGCCTATTTTTAATTTATAAGAAAGTAATTAATCACTACTTAAATATAAATGCATATTGGTCAATTCTTTCTGTCTTCATTTTGTAATGTGCCTCTCAACTTCTATCTACTTCCTCTTATTCTCAGTCATTTTGCTTTAATCCTCCGACGTACCGTCTATTTATACCATACTGGGATCTTCAAATTTTTTTATCAAGGAGCGTTCCGTATATTGACCTGTGTACATTGGTATTGTGTAATTCTTCTGTTTAAATCTTACTATTGGTTACCATATTACATTTGTTTTGGCTTTTAAGTCTGAAGATGAAAAAAAAGAAATTCCGAAAGGTTGCTATTGCTATTATGAATCACATATAATATATTGCATATATTTCAAATAATTTTCTTTTATTTTAAAGACCAAATACAGTTTGAAAAATCTATAGTCAGAAAATAAAATAGTAATTTTACACTGTCTGTAGTTTAGAATACAAATACTAAACATTAGTTAAAACACGATTATATGCTAATTTAAATATATCTATTTGCGGACAGCAATGCCCTTTATTGTCATTAATCTGATAGGTCGAGTTTTCCTGTCATTCATAAGAAAATCATGAAACATATAGAATCGTTTGAACCTGAGTTGGAAATTTAAGTAATGGAAATTATATCATACATGTAAAAAACAGTTGTTTTTTTTACTTTCAAGGATGAAACCGGTAACACTTTATTTACAGTACCAGTAATAAACTGCAAGCGTTTACCCTCATAGCTTTAATTAGATACACTATTAACATGCTCAATGATATATATATATATATATATATATGGAAAGAGAGAGAGAGAGAGAGATGATTTAACATCAATTTTCCAACAATTATACTAAATATTATCATGAAAGGTTAAGAAGGTACAGAAGGTAGGGAAGTGGATGATTTTAGTATTATAGGTACAAACTCATGTAAAGACCAAATATCGGTTCAGCCTCCTGAAGGAAACACTATCTAGTTCCACAGTTTTATTAAAGAACTGTTTACAATATACCAATATTACAGATTGTATTCTGATTAATAATACAATATACATTGTTTTTCGTATTGCTTTTAAACATGTCTCACACAATGTATTACTTTTTTGATGGAAAAAAATAACTATTACATGAGAATAAATTTGAGCATGTGAAATGATATATTTACATTTTACAGACGATGTTACTCTGTCCAAATGCTGAGTGTCGCTAGAAGAAAAAAGAAGGAATTTCGAGAGAGAGACTGAGCTCCGACGGAGAGGAGGAGAGGTGGTAGTCGGAGCGGTCTCCTTGCTATAAAAATAAAGATGTCCGCGAGGGGAAGAGATGGGTCGGGAGGCGGAGGCGGAGGAGGAGGCCGCGGGACCGCGCCAGGGCGTCGTCTAGTAGCCGGCCAACTCGGCGAAGGTGGAGTCCATCTCGTCGGCCAGAGACTTGTACCGGTCCTTGTTGATGCCCAGTTCGTCTGCGGACAGAGAGGCAGCGCTGCAGAGGCTGCGCGGAGAGGGCGGGACGCGGGGCGGCGGGGCGGACGAGTGGAGCCGCGACACGTTTGCGATCTACAGACAACCCCCTTCAGACGCGGAGAGAAGGCCGTTGCCCCTATCAACCCGGCCCTTTTGTTGTTCTTACGTGTATGAACACCTCTTCAGAAATTTGCAATTTAAAAGTACACTCTTTTGTGGTGTTTCCTCCTCCCAGTCTAATATCTCTATTTCGTTCATCGGAGCTCTCATTGAAAGGTAAACGCATTTTCTTACTTTATAATCTAAACCTCTGAAAAATTTAAGTTGCCTTTATAAAATCTTTCAAAATTACGGAACAAAACATTTACCTCCTTCGGAAACTCTCCCCTGTGTGTATCACTAAATAGTACTCATTAAGCCACATTCTGATTACAATTTCTCTGATCCTGCATGTGGTACTTATCGTTTGAACACATTTTATTTGTCAGGAACAAATATAAAAACTGACCACGTAAGACGATACGTCTAGCGCATAAATTCTTGTTTGAGATAACACACGTCTCACGTTTGAAATAACTACAGCATTAAACAAAGTCTTGAACATTTACCACATGCCGGGTTTTAAAAGAATAAAATATTTGAATAATGGAAACATTCTTTGAATGATTCAAGACTGCCCAATCACCCATGTTTCAAGTCCCCTTATCTTTGTCCGAAACACTCAGATCATTATCGCGAGAGAACTAGCACTTTCCTACAGCCCCGACGCTGCATAGTGTCGCAATGCGCCGCAAAGCATGGCCTCTCAGCAACCTTGTATTTAGCGACCGCGGGCAGCGCTGCTGTCGAGAACCTCCATATTAAACGCCCGACGTCGCACCCCATCATTCGCGCTATGTACAGGACCGTCAGCGCCTCCCCGTCCAGCGCAAACATAGCGGGCGTTTGCTTTGGGCCCATTTGCCTCCACAACACGGATTTGATAGATCGAATCATAGCTGCGCTAAGGGGAAACTGCCACGAAAGTCAACAGACATTCAGGATATTTATAAACCACGAACTTTTCATACGATAAAAGAAAACAATAATTGGTACTTGAATCCAGATGTCTTTCACAAAACTTTTTCTGACTATGAAAAATGGTCCAATTTCGAAGCATAGTTTCTGTTTTCACACGTTATAGTAACCGAGACTACATTTGTTGTAACCATGTACATTAATTTAAAGCAGGCTCTGTCCTGCACTTGAACACAAATGTTATTCTGCTTATAAAAGGAATTCGCCACGTAAAATCTATGTTCCAAGTAATTGTTGTTCATAAATAATTAGTGCCCACTTGCGTTTTGAAACGATGCAGTACTATCTTTACTCTTCATGTGCTACCTTAGCCTCTTAAGCGCTTCTGAAAATGCTCTTTCGGAGCGAGGCTTCTTCCCGGCCACACAGCGTGTCCACGACGACCCCCCGCGCGCCCTTTTCAAAATGGCCTCCCCCACGTCCACTCCCGCTAGGTGCGCTGTCGAGGCGAGAAACATGCAAAGGGTCCCCAGGGCTACTTGCGGCGACTGGCCGCCCGTCTTCATACCCCCTCCCCTCCCCCCCCTCAGCTCCTAAAACTTTCATCCCCGGCGTCCACGCGGCGCGGCGCAGCCCCGCCCACCGCCCGCTCCCGTTCCCCGCTCCGCACAGGCCAAATGACGCGTCGGCAGAGCGTTAGGAACAACAGAACTACTCTACTCCCTTGCTTTGTACAAAGCGTCTTGTCTGTTCTTTTGAAGCTATTAGCTAATATTGCGAGCGCTGGCTCAATGCAGCGTTAATCTGCACAGAAAATTTTGCTCTTGGGCGTTTAAGCATTCAAGTGAACCAGTGTTATTTACACACAACTGAAAGCAAACTGTATAGATTCTTAATGCTCTGCCCTTCTTGCAATTCCGGACCTGGAGATAAGCAAAAACAGGTATTGCTTCAGTCACAGAGACGAAATGGGCTTTTGCCTGATTGCAGTGTTAATTTTTAGTTCTGAGAATACAGAGTGTTAGTCACATTTGAAATAAATCTTATTTACAACCATTCGTCTTCCATGTGTATCTCCAGGTCAAGCAAATGCTCTTAAATTTTTTTAAAGCAATGTCGCCGTGACATTTGCTAAAGCTACTACCTTGGCATGGCAGACGCGACGAGAAGCAGTTGTAAAAAAAATGCTTGCAGATACAGATATAGTAAAATACAAAAAACAAAAAAAATAGTAACTGGTTAACTGGCAAGTAGTGGACAGAGCGTTTGGAAGAGTGATGGGAAGCAGAAGGCAGCTGCGCATTTAGTAGCCAGTGAGCTCAGCGAAGGTGGAGTCCAAATCGTCCGTAATGCTTTTGTACTTCTCCTTGTCGCTGAACAGATTGTCTGGAACAATAGCAAGGAAGCGGTGGCAGTCATTGTTAAAAGCATGGCAGCAGTCGAGGCAAGCTCCCCGCTCCGGCCTGAAAAGAGCAGCAATGCATTATTCACATCAACACTGCTGCTGGCGGCCACCGGGACTCCGGAGTCGTCGGCACGTGCAGCGTTGAAGAGTGTGTAAGAAGGGGCAGGGTCGTTCGCTTTTTGAGACCATCGGAACTTAGTTCCTCACTATACAGCCCTTCTTCGAGCATATATTATGTGTGAATCTAAATATTTCTATTAGAATAAATGAACTATTAAATTCTAAGGGCTTATGTTCTGTTATAATCAAGTTATCCGTTGTTTAAAACAATTTAGAGAATCTGAGACTTCCTTTTCAACTTTTCAAAATTGTATACGTGTTCAAAAATTCTGCATTGTTAACTGCGTATATAAAACTTATTTGGTTTTGGAATAGGCATTAATTTGAAATGTTTCTGTAAAATAAAAGTTTCGTAATGTAGTTAACATAATGTTTATTCGACTTTTAATAAGAATTTTGATGAACCGAGCATCTTCCAGAACATTAAGAAACTCGCAGAAGACACGCGTCATAGAGTATTTTATAAAAAAATATATTTGTTTTTTTTCATTTAGAACTATAATTCCCGACATTTGTGAAATAAAAATTATTTATATCAAAAAAATTATTGTCACCTTCCAATCTTGTTGCTAAATTTACGATTGCCAACGGCTTTGCACTAATCATTACCATCCAAGCGGTAGAAATTGCAAAAATGAAATTAATTTTTATTATACTCTTAACCGGAATACGATATATGATATTCCATTAAATATAATCGGTTTTGTCCTTCCAATATATTGCAATATCCATGTATATGTATACATAGTTTTGTGTATCTCTCATCCCCGACAAGCGGCCAGGGTTAGTAGTTATTCATACTGCCTCTCGGCGTGACGTCTCAAGACAAGCACAGGCACTAAGGCAGTAGCATCCTGCAGATGCCCCGCCAACTCTACAGCACTTCTGTTATGAGTGGCATAAAACATTATGTTACCTCGACGAGGCAATTTAAAATGCATGTATACGATGACATTTTCTTGCAAGCACAAGCTTATAGGCTTGTTCCAGGCTACTGGAGCTTACGAATAAACAAAAGCCAAATACAACCAAAATCAAATTGAAAGCAAAATCACTTAAATACACTATTCAAATAAAACTAAATAACTGAAATTAAATAAAATGAATAAGCAATTCACACAACAATAACAGTATCATTAACATGTTAATCGATATTGAAAATTAGTTACTCAATTCACTATTTCAGAACATGACAAGCAGATTATATGAAAGACATTCCAAATGAATTTGAAATTAAAATAAAAAATAAAAATTCCATATTAAGAAAAGAAAATGTAACTAAATTATTATTTGTGAGGATTTATAATTATTTTATGGCAATACGACAACAATTATTTAATTCAATAAATTTAAAACTTTTTTGTTAATTAATCTCCAGAAAACGATTACTGAATTCCGCCGGAATTATATTTCCTGGGCAACGTTACTTACTGGATTAAATACATTTGTGAAGAAAGTATATAGTACATTATCTCAAAGTATGGTATGCTACTCATCCTTATAAACTCCTAGTTTAGTAAAAGCACTCGGTTTATGAAATAAATATTTTTCAGATAAAAATTTAATAACAGAGGTAGGGGATAATACATGCCTTGTCATATTCCCTTATCCATAAGAAATTATAACACATCCTACAAAAACCGTTTCTAATCGTGGACCAAAAAATGACAATAAATGTATTCAATACTTCAACTTTTCGTTTTCGTGAAACCTTTAGTTCTTGAAACTTTTCGCTGGTATGAACCCCCATAAAATCATAAGCAATCCCAGTTAAGTAGTTAGGATCTATTGCATGCGTGGTCGAAAAGAGCCACTCGCAGGGCTCCTTGTCTTTTATTTTGGGAGAAGGCGCGTGGGGGGCTGAAGGGCGGGAGGGAGGGGGCGGCCCGTTACCTTCAAGCCTGTCAACCTCCTTCTGGAGCTTCTTGACGGTCTTCTCGGCGTATTCGGCGCGGGCCTCGGCCTGGAACACACAGACACCACTGTGACCAATCCTATTAAGATACCGCTGTCTAGAGTTCTTTTTAATTTATTTACTAGCCAACTGCACATTCCATTAAGGACAACGCCCTCCTGCTCACGCAAGGAATTATTACTCCTGCTTTAATGAAGGAATAGGATGATAATGAAGGGTGAAGGGTCGATCACAAATTCCTCCATTTCCAGAGGCGGGATTCGAACCTGCAATCCTTCGATCCGAGATTGCCACATCACTACTGCCTTATTGATCTGGGCTATCCGGATCGACTTGTCTAGAATTAAGTATCTTCCAGTTACTTCGTCAAAATGATAAAACTTGTTGATTTTTTTTTAACTCAAAGTGTATCCATGTTTTTCTACATCGAACTGATTTCAACCATTTTTTCAAAAAACGTGTAGTCTATTTGATTCTTTCGTCAAAATATATTTTACAATACTTCTTGTTCGCAAACTTTAAAACAAAATTATATTTATATTATTCAATTTTTTTAAATTGTAATTCCTGAAATATTAGTGCTACAGTTACCTTTTCTTCTATTGATGATAACTGTTTCATCACATTGATTGTTTATTATAATTTTATCAACTCACCTCTTTTAGCTTGACGCTCAGGGTCTTGATCTGCCTCTTGTATTCCTCAACTCGCTGGTTGGCCTGCACAAGAATATGTATTTGTTAATACCACATCACAAATTAAGCTGGAACGTATAGGGAAAAGTGTGCTTTACTTCGGGGAGTTTAAGTAAAAAAAGTATTTGTTTAAAATTTCCAATGTTCATTATTATGTGAAATTATCAAATAAAGTTTACCTTCTCCTCGGACACTTCCAAGGACTTCAAGCTGTTGCCGACGACCTTCAACTCTTCCTCAAGCTCCATGATCTTGCTGTAAATAAGATATTTTCATTGAATCCTCTATAATCATTGGCCTACTCATTGAGTGAGAAGGAAGATCTTGGCGTAGCTCAATGATATTCTTCAAATCGTTTTATCTTAGATACTAATTGCTAACATTTATTTTCAAAATTTAGTCATGCAAAAACGAATAACTGTTTGACTCGATAATAAAATGAAACTGATTGTAAACGATTCTCAAAAAGTTCTCAATACCTAATACAGAGTTATGTTGTTATTTAAATGGAATTATTTGTATCCAAATTATAGCCGTATTTTAGTGTTTATACGTACGAGTCTCCAGACTTCACACGATCCTCAGCCACTTCCAGCTCGTCTTCAACGAAGGCCAGCTTACGTGACACCTGAGACCCACAGACGAACACAAGTCAGAGTCAGAACTTTCACCAATCCTCAAATGATTAGCAAGCACTAGAAATCAAAAGAAAAATAGTATCCACACATCTTACATGACAGAGTATATAATGATAGTATGTTTCATTTTAGTTTGTGACAACGTTAATTTTTCCATCAATGTTTAATATTATATTCTGACAATGAAATCAGGTCAATAAAATTAAATATCGACTTAACGCGAATCTAATTCGCCCCTTTTTTAAACAAATGTAGTACTCAAAATCGTGGAGCACTTTACATTCGATGGCGCATTACATCGAGTGCAAATCCATTTTGTGGGGAATAATGGTGATTTACGCTTGTAATCCATTGTATTAATAAATTCATTTTGAGTGTGTATTTTCCTTATTTCATGTCCACTAATTCTCATCTTTAACAATGTGCCACCTACCACTAGAAAACTTTCAATTCTATAATATGATGGTTTATGCATACGATAATCCATTGTTGTATTACATAAATTTAAAATTAAACCGCATCTATAATTTTGTCATTGATGGGCATTACATTCGATAAAAACCTTTGTTCATTAAAGTTATGAATTTTCAAATACAGAGTGTGCATTAGATTCGCTGGCGCATTAGGTTCGGGTAAATACGGTGTACTTTAATAACAGACTATATTTGAGAATATTTTGTGTTATTAATTCTCAAACTTTTAAAGTAATTTATAGTTTCTAGAAAAAATATACAAATCTAAACTACAAGAAATAGATAATTCATTTCTTGAATATTACACTCCAAAATAACTGTTACGTGATGTGTACGTTCTATTTCTCCCTATTATCCAGGAAAATTAACATAAGGATTTTTTTAAATTGAGGAATAAAAATGTCACTATTTTACGACATTTTATGAGGTTTTAAGCAAAAGGTTGAACAATTACCTCGTCGGACTTGCCGTCAGCGTCTTCAGCCAGCAGCCTCGCCTCCTTCAGTTGGTTGGTGAGCTGGTCCATCCTCTCCTCATCCTGCTGGCTGCGGTTCTCCAGTACCTTGCACATACTGAAACACATTCCGTCCCATTTATAGCAATTGATTGAAAACTTAGACAAACATGCAAAAAATAACTATATTTTCGCGCATTATTTCGTATTTTGTAGGGAAATTTGTAATAATAAAACTACCGACAGATTTAGGGTAGTTATTAAATATCACAAAACTTTGTGTAGGTTTCATCTATGAGCATGAAGGAAAGGCATTCACGTAAGAAGTACAAAATACATTACTTATACACAGAATGCCAGAAACTCCTGTAACAAAAAATTCCCCTAGCTCTTTGTTGACATTATGAAGAATGTCAGGCCCAATTCGCAGATACATTTGCCAACAAAATTTTTTGCCACAGATTTGCTAGCACACTTAACTAAACGGAAGAATTCATTCATTACAAAAAAGAACAAGACCTCAGTACTGAATATCAACTTAACAACTCAACTACAATTCAAGAACTTAATACAGCCATTGAATCATCTAAGAATTTGCCACCAGGTCCCTACAACATTGCAAATATACTTATAAAAAATCTACCATGCAAAGAAATTGACCTTCTTCTTAAAATATACAAGCCTATCTGTGAGAGAAAAGTATTTCCTACTGTATGAGTGAAGCAACACTAATCCCTATTTCTAAACCTAGAAAAGACAAGACACAAAAGACATATTGACAATCACAGACCAATATCCTTAATCTGGAATATATGCAAGATTGTAGAAAAGTAGTAGACAACTGAATAGGAATATCATAGTATCATTAGCGACAACCATTTTGGCTTCTGACCAGGTTACTCAACACTATCCCATCTGTTGAGTGTTGACACATACATTCTGAAAGCCTTCATTAATCATCAGCATTTGTTAGCTGAAAACTTAAATATCGAAAAAGCATACGATATGATATGGACGCACCGAATTCTCTTAAAACTACACGAAATTGGAATTGGAGGAAATATGCTAGCGTTTCTGAAATCCTTTTTAAAAAATCGTAAAATTTAAGTCGGAGTTAACGGCCACTTATCTATAATGATAAGTTTAGAAGTTAGAGTACCAAACAGTTTTATATTTACCGTCTCACATGTCCTTCTCCCTATTAATGATGCAGACATAAATACCAATCCCCTACTATAATCGGATATATGCATATGATTTAATTATCCTTTGTAAAAGAAACAACCTTACAAACACCCAAGAGACCGTCCAAATAGCTCTGGGCATCTTAAGCGACTGGTCTAATAAATCTGATTTTACATTCTCACGAAAAAAAACTGAATGCGTATTATTTTCAAAACAACATCAAACAATCACTCCTTAAGTAAAACTGGGCCAGCAAGATCTAAAATTTACTCAGTGCACAAAAATACTGGGAATGCAATTTGACTACAAACTGACATGGAAAAGACACAGCCAACATGTCATAGATTAATTTAAAAACAGACTCAACATCCCTAAATATTTGTATCACAACAACTGGGGACCAGATTTTGAATATTATTTTTTCGTTTGTCACCCATTAAAAGGTACGTGTAAGTATGTTGGAGTACAATTTATATTATAATCAATATATGTTTGTTCTTATTTGTTTGTTAGACTGGTAGTGCTGAGATACCTACTATTGATTACTTCTCCTAAGACTCATTTTACAGTTACAGATGAATACATCTTAGAGGTACATTTGACACGATACGTTTTGGACGCATGAGAGTGTCTAAAATTAGAAGCCATGAAAGAGTTTTCATTGCTTAAAACTAATATCCGAAATGTATTAATTCAATTTATTGTTCATGATATTTCAAACCAGTAATCGTGTTGTAAAAAATGAAAACATAGAAAATATATTATTACTTCTGTAACATTGTGTTACGTATAAAATGGATTGTGACAAAACGTTGACATCAAGTATTCTTGCAAAAACTAGGTCTGAAAATATTTCTAAAGCATAAAATAAACTTAATATCTTCTTGAAGAGTTACTTTTCGCTCAAGTTTGTACAAAAGAAATGAATCCATAATGCCTCAAAACATTAGCAGTTGTTCCACCTAAATATTTAACCTCCGAATTACTTCACGAATAGAAAGAGGGGTGACTTAAAACACAATGGCTGCGCCCAGCATCTGAGCTCCATGCCGCGCAGGGCTTCGCCCGCCCTCGTTTCGTGGC